CAGTGCATGCAGCGGGGTTGCAGCACAAGAAAGCTCACGATGGACTTAGTTAATTTTAGTAGCAAAGGTCAGCTGAAACCAGCCCAACACATAAGACTCTTCGGTTTTTGTTTCCCAATTTGGGAATTAATCAGACTGAGCAAGTTAGTAGATTATAAAGGCTGGCAGCTCTGTTTCCTCCTCCTGCTCAATAGATCTCTTGGCAAGGACACTGCAAGTTACTGTGCGTTGAACCAGTGACTTTAAATTAAAATCCCTCCTCTATTGTGTCGTATGGTACAAAGTAAGCGATGAATAGCAGTCAAAAGTGCAGTTAATAAGATTAGGTGCTGATTAAACCCAGGCTGAGAGTTAGCGATGCAGCTATCTGAGTTAGCAGACGAGGCCTTGCCTTTGCAAAAAGAGTTTAGTTTCTACAGGCGACGTTGTGTTGTCTAATACCTTAATAACGGATGTGCACGAGAGAATAAGCCAGTCGCGTGAAAAAATAATAAACTTAATATATGTAAATTCAGAGAACTGTTGATATGCTGTATGACAGCTCCGTCTGTCTGTATCACCAGCGCACGGGTCCCGTCTCTCTTCTCAGTTTTTTCTCCTAGGATTCCCTATTTTGTTGGTCGGTGTAAACACGGCAGGTGTTTTAGAGGAGTGTGGGTAACGGGCTCTAACGTTACCGGGGAGGTAGCTGTTTCGTCGCCGGGGGCTCGAGAAGGAGCGAGGCCGCGCCGGGGTGAGTGTGCAGGCGGCCCGGCGCTGACAGGTACACCGGGTGAACCGGACAGAAGAGAGACAGAGCAGGCCTCCTGGTCTTCGGAAATAGGGACAAGTGTCAGCTGCCACCGGAAAACACGAAACGGCACCCACGGAGACGACTACACCGGCACTCGCGCGCCTCCAAGCACGAAACTGCTACGAAAACCCTGGGTAAACTCCAACCTTTGAGAGTTGCCGATATTCGCGTCGCCTGTCGTTGTCAGAGCCGCAGTCTGGAATGGATATGTGTCTGGACGTCGAGTAAAACAAATTTCGCCATGTATGAGCTGAAATTTTCTAGTTTTTTCCCTGTAAGAACAGACCGTCGGTGCCTTCTCACGAGGCGCGCTCTCTGTCCTTCTCCACCGCGCGAACCGCTGAGCCTCGGGGGCGCGGTCACAGAGTTCGAGAACGAGCCAGAACGTCAAGTCCTGATGGACGTCGGAATTGACCAATCGCAGAGCAGCATGAGATAGTAGCCCCACCCCTTTGAAGAGAGTGTGCGAGATTTAGGAAGTAGATGAAGAAGAGTTGATCGCCGAGGCTGGAGTAGGGGGCTCAGGGCAGGCCAGGGCCAAATTCTGATCTCAGGCAGAGCTGGGTGTTGAGAAATAAACGGAAACACTCTCTCAACAATAGAAGTAAAGGAATAAGTATTAGCAAAAGCCCTACGGTGGAGCTGTCTTACACGAAGCCACCATATGAGACTTATCGAGTCATGACTTATATAAATGCGTTGTATATGCATCCATGAGACGTAAATTATTAACTTTTATGATCAAAAATAAAAGCTGATTAAATGATTTGTGCTGCTTTGAAAGCACAAAAACATGGCTACAATTTAACTGTCCATTCCTAGAAGGGCTCCAAGGAACAAATGATCTCAGATGTACAACTCACGAAACACATTTAAAGCCAAAAGAGAAGGAGTTCCCTGTCAGTAAATATAGAGCAGTTGATCTATTCTCGGGTCTTCATTCGGGTCGCAGGTAAAGCCGTTGCCATGGCCACACAGAACCTACCTTTAAATCCTCCAGTCATTTTCCTCGAGGTACCGCTTGCGCCCCCTGCCGGGTACAAATAGCTCATCTTGACAATCACTTTTAATCACCAACATGTTGTTTCAAACCTGATTTTTGTCTTCTTCTTCTTCTTCTTCTTCTTCTTCTTCTTCTTCTTCTGTGGAACACACATTTATTGTATTGAAAAAAAGGTGTAAGTGAATGGTGACTTTCCTTTTATCATATTTTTTTTAATCATATACTCTTCATAATATGAATAAAGGAATATTAAGGAAATATTAGAAAATAGTGTTGTGTTAGGGCAGAACTCTCAGAAAAGAGGTATGTTGGTCATCACAAAAATCTACACATTCTTTGCATGGATATTCTTGGATGGTTATTGCTTATTCAACATTTTGGCAAATTTGGTTATGCTTTCAGGTACCAATAAACATTTAGAACTTTCACTGTTCCCATTTTTTATTTGATTTTTTTTTATGTATATATTTATTTATTCTTATTATTCACACACACACACACACACACACACACACACACATATATATATATATATATAGAGAGAGAGAGAGAGAGAGATAGATATATAAAAGAAAAAAATAGAAAAAATAATCACAAAAATCTACACATTCTTTGCATGGATATTCTTGGATGGTTATTGCTTATTCAACATTTTGGCAAATTTGGTTATGCTTTCAGGTACCAATAAACATTTAGACATTTAGAAGTTCCCATTTTTTATTTGATTTTTTTTAATGTATATATTTATTTATTCTTATTATTCACACACACACACACACACACATATATATATATATATAGAGAGAGAGAGAGAGAGATATAGATATATAAAAGGAATAAATAGTAGTAGTAATAATAATAAATAATAATAATATGTTTGTACCAAGAGCTCCCAAAAACACAACAAATTCCTTGTGTGTTTGCACACACTTGGTGAATAAAGCTCATTCTGATTCTAATAATTTGACAGAAAGAGTCAGTTACCTCTAGGCCTCTAAGACTGACACTAAAAGCACAAACCTGTTGCCTTGGAGAAACTGGGACAGAGGTGCACCAAGGGAAACATGCTCACTGGAATAATAGATGTGTGACTATTTTCTAGAACAAATCAGAGTGTAATTTAGTTTTTCACGATATGGTTACTAAAAAAGATCCTTATAATGTATTTTCACTGGAGACTATATAAACTATTTTCCAGGCATAATTAATTCTGGCACTCATATCAAGACCAAACCACAAATCTCTGTTGCACTGGATAGAAGGGGTTCTAGGGGATTTTTGGTGCTTAATCAGAACTCATGACCATATGGTCCAAGTCATGGCACATCACTGGGGTGGGATCATCTGTTAATGTTCATGAGAATTTAAAGGCACACAATCAATAAATAAATCAATCAATTAAAAAAATAATGAAAAAAAATATTCACATAGAAGACATTTCTCAGACAGGAAAGCAAAGCTAAAATCCATTGTGTTGAGATCAGTCTGAAGAATAAAAAATCCACAAAAACGACTTATTTTTTAGCATTTAAATTTTATTATTTCATAGACTTTACAATTCAGATACTATTAACTGGCCATACTGAAAATTATTTAAATCACATTATAGCTTTATTTTCTGTGTTTAATATATTACAGTATTTATGCAAGAATTCAGAACACTTTTTATATTAAATGTGCCATTTACTAGGACAGTGCAACTGTAGGAGAGGATTTTTGATGCCATAGTAAAGGCAAGCAACTCAAATGGACATTTCTAATCCAAATGAATCATTCATTATTGCCCAATGTAAAGATAATGTCCTTGAGAATATTAGCTGCTCCTCCAATCACAGGGCTCCTTCCACTTTAGGAAGATTTTATAAGTTACAGAAACAGTCAAAGTCACAGAGGATTATCGCTGATAAAGATTTAGTTATTCTACAATTTCTCATAAGATGTGTTACATACATTTCATGTACAAGTGATCCATTTCAAATGATTGAGAGACAATATACTTAATAAAATGCTTAAGTGTGAAACGAACATCCAAACTATAGTTTCTCTCTACATATTCTCTCAACAAACATGCACACTATTTACAATCTTGTGCTGGACATTTCATTTCTGCTCACATTGCAGATCTAGTATTATTACATTACATTATTACATTACATCTCACATTACAGATGCAGTATTATTACTAACTGATCTAAATCCGAGAGCTCAATGACAAACTAAAAAATTAAGCTAGAGAATGTTTTTCCTTGTTGCTTCCATTAAAAATACGCCACATTCAGTAAAACCTTCACTGATCTACGTTCATTGATAAAATGCCTTTGAGGATTACAGACGAATCTCTGTAACAAAACTCTCCTTTGTCTGAATGAAAACAGTCGCATTAAATGTTAAGCTGGTGTGAACAAGTGACCTTTTACAATTTCATGTTGTTTTAGAGCTACAAACCCCATGCGCACCCTGAGGTCTACAATGAGTTCAAAAGCTACTGTGAACATATAATTTAAACAGTAACATATTTATTATTAAGTAGTCAAAGTAACGAAATGCTTGTAAAAATAAAGGAATAAGATATGAAAACTCCAGAGCCCATAAGAAAGAATCAGCTGTAAATAGGTTTCATATGAAGTAAATCCAGCTGCAGAACAGCCACTTCCCCATTTACTCCAAGGAATGGAACAGTCTGAGGTGTTTGAAACAGTCAAACCACAAAAGGAAATTTATAACAGACAAAAAAACCTTTCCAATTCTCCTTATTGTGAGTATATGTAGTGTATATATGGGAATCTGTGGGATCTTCTGCATAGATGTGTCTGTAGAGATCGTCTAATTGATCTCTTTGAGTGCAATGTTAAATTTGCCCAGCAGACATTTTGCTCTTTGAATGTCTCAAAGCTTGCATATCATTGCTCTCTTGTTGATTTTGATTGCTTCCATTGTCCTCATTTGTAAGTCGCTTTGGATAAAAGCGTCTGCTTCTAGTATTATTACATTACATTAATACATTACATCTCACATTACAGATGCAGTATTATTACTAACTGATCTAAATCCGAGAGCTCAATGACAAACTAAAAAATTAAGCTAGAGAATGTTTTTGCTTGTTGCTTCCATTAAAAATACGCCACATTCAGTAAAACCTTCACTGATCTACGTTCATTGATAAAATGCCTTTGAGGATTACAGACGAATCTCTATAACAAAACTCTCCTTTGTCTGAATGAAAACAGTCGCATTAAATGTTAAGCTGGTGTGAACAAGTGACCTTTTACAATTTCATGTTGTTTTAGAGCTACAAACCCCATGCGCACCCTGAGGTCTACAATGAGTTCAAAAGCTACTGTGAACATATAATTTAAACAGTAACATATTTATTATTAAGTAGTCAAAGTAACGAAATGCTTGTAAAAATAAAGGAATAAGATATGAAAACTCCAGAGCCCATAAGAAAGAATCAGCTGTAAATAGGTTTCATATGAAGTAAATCCAGCTGCAGAACAGCCACTTCCCCATTTACTCCAAGGAATGGAACAGTCTGAGGTGTTTGAAACAGTCAAACCACAAAAAGACATTTAGAACAGACTTTCAAACCTTTCCAATTCTCCTTATTGTGGGTATATATAGTGAATATATGGGAATCGGTGGGATCTCCTGCATAGATGTGTCTGTAGAGATCATCTAATTGATCTCTTCGAGTACAATGTTACATTTGCCCAGCAGACATTTTGCTCTTTGAATGTCTCAAAGCTTGCATATCATTGCTCTCTTGTTGATTTTGATTGCTTCCATTGTCCTCATTTGTAAGTCGCTTTGGATAAAAGCGTCTGCTAAATGACTAAATGTAAATTTATTTTCATTCTGTAGGTTCAGTTTGTTTTTCTGCCAAGCCATAAGCAATAAGGTTGAGTTGCCTTGGCAACTGCGCTGACAGCAGAATGCAGTACTGCTATTGTCCAGCGGGGGCAGCACTGCATCTCTTATGAGCAGTGGACATCACAAAGAGCAAATTGCAGCTGCTTTCTATTACTGTGGCAACACAAAAGAGAGCTCAGCACTGAGGGCAACCGGGTGATGATTGATGATTGCTATTCAGGGAATATAAACTCCCACAGAACCCTTACTGGCCATATTAAAGCTTAATTGGACCTCTAGGTCAAAGGTCACTTACGAATGACCTCTTATCACCTAGGTAAATTAGAATGAGGGTAGTTTTGTTGGCATGTAGTGCAATCAGACATCTCTTTGTCATAGAGATGAAAGATTCGGTAGAGGGCGGGGCTTAGGCAACTGTGTATATGGTGATTGACAGCTAAGACCCATGAGGGCTGGGGAGTCTCTCCAGGATCCAAGTGCACACCTTCTTTAAGACAGACTCTACTGTTTCAGGTAAATCATGATGTAGGGCATGGTAGGCTTTTTCATACACCTGTTTGTCACAAAAACACATACAGATCTGTGGGTTAGGAAGGAATACACTGTACAAAATTATTGTAATATTAACTGGTAAGACTGTAAAAATACTACAGTTAATAACTTGTTAAAACAGGACGTTCCCTTACTATACAGGGAAAAACTGTTTCATGTAACTTACATTGTTTGTCACTATATGTTAAAGGTACAAAACACATTTTAGTAGCAGAATGGCCTTTATAATTCACAGAAAATGGCTGTTGGATTTACTCGTTTAAAATGGGTTATTTTTTGTTTTGTTTTGTTGTTATTTTTTAATTTACGATTTTAAACTGCAGAATTGTTCCATATATATGTTTACATTTTTTTAACAGAATTATTCAGGCAACCACAGCTGCTGGTTTTTCCTGTAAAAATGACAGGATTTTTATTTTTTTTTCAGTGTATGCATGAATATTGGTGGAGGTCTATTATATGTGTTTTTATTCAGAGTACTGCATGAATGTGCATCTGGATCAGGTTATCCTGTGATCTCCAAAACATCTATACTGCAAAAACAACAGCTTAGATCATATTCACAAGTCAAGACTTGAGTTCTGCAGTTTAAAAGCATAGCTCATCCAAAAATAAAAATTCTGTCATTACTCACCCTCATGTTTTTCCAAACCTGTATGACTTTCTGTCTTCAGCGGAACACAAAAGACATTTTGAAGAATGTTTCAACAGTTTGTGTTCATCAAAGTCTTACTAGGCTTACTAGAAACTTGCAGGCAGGTGTGTTGAGGCAAGTTGGAGCTAAACTCTGCAGGACAGTGGCCTCCAGGACTGAGTTTGGACACCCCTGATATAATGAAAGTCAACAGGGTCCAAAACAACTTTGGACCCCAATGATTTTCATTGCATGGACCCGAAAAAAAACACTGAAACATTTTTCAAAATATATTCTTTTGTGTTCCATACAGTTTTGTATTTAACTTTTGCATTTTTTGGCCCATGTTTATGCACGTTTGATTCACCTTCAGTTTTTTATCAGTGCTCTTGGCCTCATTATACATTAGATGAGACCCTCCAATGTCACAAAGCTTGTCGGCGTCTCCATGGAGAATGAAGAAGGGCCATGTAATGTTGGGTAATTCTCTCTTGATGCGAGCCGCCGCATCCATCAGCTGCATTCCGAACGAGACACGCAGCCCTCCATGATGATTTAGCTCATCTGCGTCATATGCCTCCACCTAATGGACACATGGAGATTATGTAAGATTACAAACATGATCCTAATATAACAGTAACTCTTTGCTTAAGACTACACTCAGTAATCAGGGTAAAATAAACCTGAGGTTTTGAACAATTACAATGAAATCTATTTGAGTGTAAGATGTTTATGTTGTCTACTATGGCTGAATAAATGGGACCAGCTGTTTCTGTGGACATAGCGTTCCAGGGCTAAGATATGAAGAAAATTACATTCATATGTTATCACTATGTATATGCTTCACTCTGAAAGAGTAGGTTTACTGTGTAACTACTGTTTCAACAGCAAAAACAAACAACACTGCCAGATTGTCTACTTAGGCCTATTCAAACACTAACTGTCAGTGTGAAATTTACGCATATATACATTGCCTGACTTCTACAGAAGACCTTTGACATACATTCCTGTACCTGTTTGGGATCCCGTGAGACCCATTTTGATTCGATTGAACCAAGAGAGAGTTTGGGAGTCAAGCGGTTTAGAATTTTTGCCAGGAAAACCTGCAAAGAATCCAAAAACCCACATACATTGATGATTTACGAAAGAGAACTGAACATTTCTGTAGCATCAGTTACTGAATGACGGAATTTACATATTGATTTATTTTATTTTATTTACTTTATAGAAATGTTCTCAAATTTACAAATTAAACAGCTAACAAAAATTACAATGTTCACATATTGGATAAACAGACAGTAGCCCTGGACTTAATCCACACCTAAAATGTATAAATGTTATTGCTTTAGATAAAATACTGATTCATAAATGGCATTATGTATTATTTAAAAAAAGCAAAAATAATTCACAAAAATCTGTGTGTCTGAAATGATAAAACAATAGATACTCTAAATACTTTCAAATTAACACAAAGGCTATTTGGATACTTTCTGGTTGTTAAATTGGATTGGAACATGTTCAGAGTTTCATTGAATAGATGAAATCACTGCTGCCTGCTACACTGCTGAGAGCTCTACTGCTGTTATTTGACAGCTGACAATTGAAAGCGATTGTTATTTGATTGCATTTAACAGTCTGACTGCAGGGGGCAGCAGATCTAATTTACAGCCTCATGTTTCAGTTGTGGTGGATATTAAATGCAAACCATTGGGGAGAAAGAAGAACTGCTTGTCACTATAGTGTGTTCTGTGACTTTTTACCTTGAAAGGTGTAGCAGATTCAGCATTCATTTGAACCATGGGGCCTATGAGAACCACACCTGCAAAATCCTGCGGCCTCTCACACGCGGTCAGAATGGAAATGCTCCCTCCCTGTAGTAAAACAAGACTGTAGACTCAATCATGTCAGCACAATATAGCAGTTTAATAGTAGAGTACTTCCTCGCATATATATTCCACAGTTAAAAAATTCCTTCCATTCATTCATTTCCATTACTGGCTATTTTCTATTAACACAAGAGTTTTCAAACTAGGGTCCAGGAATGTATTTTGTGATATTATAGTTTAATTCTGTATTATTAAGACAAATCATAAATTATTAGATTAATTGTGATTATTTTATTTTATTGATATCCCTAGTTTTTAGGGATGCAGTAAGAAAGAAAAAACTGCATATAGTTTTGTTGGGGGGGGGGGGGGGTTTTTTTTTTTTTTATTTTATTGGGGTGGGATGAAAAAAAAAAAAGAGCAATATTGTTTTTTTGGGGGGGGGGGGGATTATATTATATTTACATTTAACAGTACTCTAAAAGTGGTATACTGTAAATATAATATAAAAGCCAATTATTTAATTTTGTAAACAGCATGTTGTTTTTATAATATCATGCTTAATTTGTGGGTTTTGTACACATTAAAATATATAACTGTCTTTATATTTTAGGAAGGGCATCCATTGCAAGCTGATCATCATTGTGGTCCTTTGTATCAAAAAGTTTACAAACCCTGCATTAATATTATGTTGGTTATGCACTTAATGAAAAATCATCTTTGACAATAAACATGTTTTCCATCCTCACATGAGTAAATATGAGTGAGAAACCTCTAATTTGTCATTTTCTGATGCTCTGCTCCTCTGGTTTCTTCATCTTGTTTCTATAATGATTCTATCTATGAATATTCATGAATAGAGGCCAGGATTCAAAAGAGGTGGAGAGATTAAAGAATAGCTCCCACCACATTTCTAAGAGACTCCAATAATGGGCCGATTTAAGATACTCACTCACACACAAACACTCAAAGCAGACATACAAACCCAAACACACACTCAGTTTAGCCACACTACAAATGCACACTAACTCTAGAAGCTTCATCAAAAAAATAGGTGGTCTGCTTTGATTTGATTATAAGGTAATTGCTTTTTAATTTGGAATTTTTGCATCCCTGGGAGTAACTGGGAGTAAAGTTTCAAATGCACAAACTACACACAGATAATTACACTCACAACAGCTTGCATCTGTACATGTCTTTCCTTCATACACACACACACTCACACATAGAGAGAGAGAGAGATTATTATCGTTTTCATCTGTAAACATGTGACAGGAAAGCAAATGTTTATTCAGCCAGTAGCTTCAGTTCCTCAGGTCACAGGAAGTGAAAAGTACAAGGACATATAGTCCAATAACTGGAGGTAACAAGACACACCTAATTGGAAATTTCTTTACAGGAAGTATTGCGTAAAATCCTTTCATTTTCCATATTTCTTATTAAAGACTGTGATTACATAAGGACCAAACAGACTGGTATTACATAAGATGCTAGATTAGAGAGTAAGCAAGTGGAAAACCTAAATTAAAGTCAAGGAAAGGAAGAGAGATGGAGAGCAGCAGAAACACATTTCATTATTTAGAGTTGGAAAACTCTGAAGGAACAGGAGAGAAGTGCATTGTGGGTATTAACTGTACATAAAGGATTCCTTTACCAGGACACCCGTGCAGTGGGATATTTATACCATACAACTATCCCAGAAAAATCACGACTTTGTGATAGCGATGTCCCACAAAAATACAGTGCAGACACATCCAGACACATTTCTAGTCTTTAGGGCTCATGAAGCTTCTTGAGTATGCAGCTGGTCTGTTTTATTAATAGGAACTATTGAGCAAAAAACAAAGGTAAAAAGCTTCCAGCTGGATTTTTTTGTTCACACTTAGTCATGCACAATTTGGGTTTAACACATACTGAACATTGGAAAAGCAACAAAGCAAAAGCAAAAGGTCGTCCCGTGTCCTCCACCCCATGAGTCACAGACAGTTCAAAATAGTTTACTTTATCTTTTCCAACAGTCGTAACTAGCTTGGAATAGTTATTAAACAGAGTGTTAAATGTTAGCATAGAAATTCCTGATTCTCAGAAAGAATTTTAATATAAATGTAGGAAACATGTAAATATGAATGAGACATTTGCACACTTGTTGGTGGCTGCCAAAAACAGAGCTGCACGAAAGCATGAATACTAAGTCAAATAATGAGAAAGAACCAAATCACTGCTATGCTGATGATCCAGATTTACCTAGCCTTATCACCAAATGACTACAGCCCCATTGACTCCTTCTGCCAATGCATTGATGAAATTAACAGTTGGATGTGCCAAAATGTTCTTCAGTTAAACAAGAAGAAAACTGAAGTCATTGCATTTGGAAACAAATATGAAGTTCTCAAGGTGAATGCATACCTTGACTCTAGGGGTCAAACAACTAAAAATCAAGTCAGGAATCTTGGTGTAATTCTGGAGACAGACCTTAGTTTCAGTAGTCATGTCAAAGCAGTAACTAAATCAGCATACTATCATCTAAAAAACATTGCAAGAATTAGATGTTTTGTTTCCATTCAAGACCTGGAGAAACTTGTTCATGCCTTTATCACCAGCAGGGTGGACTATTGTAATGGTCTCCTCGCCGGCCTTC